GCTATTTTCTCGCATATATACGAAAGAAAATATTCATATTCTACGAGATTTTTGCCTATTCATATACACTAGCTACATATACATCCATAGTCGGTATTCTATAGGGAAATAGCCTTTCCACAAACGCGCGTCACATAAAATTTTCTCTTCTCTTCTTCTTATTTTTCCCATTCTTATCAACATCCACCCCTCACCTCCACCCAACAATCTTAAAATTATATATCGCGAGATGGCTAGTAGCACTCACATACATGAAATTTATTATATGTGTAGTTTTCAGTTTTTCAATGTGCTCTTCTGTGTGTCCAAAAAGAAAAGGGGGACAGAAAAATGAGAGAAATTACCTCACACTCATCCCATTCCATTCAAATGTCGATGAAAATTTTTTACTTAATGTTCTCATCTCATCTCTTCCTTTTCTTCTTGTGTACCTTTCGTGTTGCACATGTGCGCATGTGATGATGATGATGTACGAAGTTAAGGATCTTCGTGTCTCGTTTGCTTTACGCTCTCGAAATGTTTCTCTTATTTATGTGTGAAAATGTATTTTTAAAAACAAATAAAACCGGCGAATTAGAATGCGTTGATTAAATGAATGATGCATCTCTTCCGGTTTTGAGGATGAATTTTTTTTTTATTTTTCAAAAATTTTGATGTTTTTTCTGGTTTTAGAAAATTAAAATGTGTGAATAAAAACTTACAAAATATCAATTTAAAGAGACTCGACTCTTATAAAAATATTTTTTCTTTTGAATACTAACATAAACTTAATTTTTATTCTTATAAATCCGGTGTTTTGATGGAAAACCGGTCTCTGTAAATTTCAGATCTAGATCTGAAGTATAAGGATTGATCTCCTTTCCCTCCTTGCTTATATTTTGCATGGCTAGACCTCTTACCGTCATTTTAAATCAAATCTTATATAAAAATGTACCACTTTAAGGGGCCGTTCATTAATGAAGTCCAGGGTGGGGGGCAGGGGCGTAGCCAGGGGGGGGCCATAGGGGGCCCGGGCCCCCCCCTACGAAAATCTGATAATTGTTTTATTAAGTATTTATAGAGAAGAACCAGTTAATGTAGAGGAAGTGATGAAAGAAATGTCAAAATGAGCACGGAAAATTAAATTTAATGTATGAATAATGAATTAAATATTTAAACTTATGAAGAATGAATATAGATTTAAGGATACAAAATAACGGTTTTTTCAATTTTCGAAGATGGGCCCCCCCCTTAAAAATTTTCTGGCTACGCCCCTGGTGGGGGGTCAGCAAGAAAAGACCAATGGAAATTCCTGGAACCCCATTGTTCTTTTTTGAAAATGACCGTTAATTTCGGATGTCACAAGTAAATTGTGAATTCTTTTTATAAAAGTTTTAAGCATTTTTTTAATAATTTTAACACCCGAGGTTTTTAAAAATAAATTAAAAAAGTTTTGTGATAAAAACTATTTTAAAATGTATTTTTTAATTTATCAGAATAATTTCAAAATTATTTTTGTTTCTACTTTCATATTTTAAATTTTTCCTAACATTAGCAACAGTTTTACAATTTCATTTTCCTTGAAACCGTTATTTGACTTCAAGTTGTTAAAAATTCAAAAGTTAAATTTCGTCTAAAATTCAAATTTCGACAAAAAGCTCAACCAAAAATTTCTCGAACGTTTCCTTTTCTTCAAAGCTTACAAAAAAGCTCTATAAAAATTTTCAATTTTTCCTGACATCAAAAGTGTCTCGACTAAAAAAAATCCTTCAAACTTCAATACAACGTTACAGCAACTACCAAGCATATGATAGTTCACAACATTAAACATCTGTTCTGATTAAATTCTCAACTTACCCTGAAATTTTTCTCATTTTTATATGAAACAAAACAAAAATTCATTCTAATCTAAATGAAATGAAACAGAGAAAAACTACAAAAGTGAAAAGAGCATAAAAAAATTTGCTGAACTTTTTTTAAACAAAAATATTATTAACATTGTAATTTGCTGCATTTTTATGTTTTATTAAACAAATAGTAACTCTTTTAAGTTGAATTTGTTCAGCAAAGTGGATAATGAATAGTGAGTAAGTTCATGAGAATTTTATTAATGATGTTCGTGGTGCTCTCAGCACTTTTGGAGGTATTCAGAATTTTTGTTTAATTATTCTTAAATTTCAATGAAAATGTTAAACCTGGAAAAATTTAATAATGATTATTTCAATAATGAACTTCCAATTAAAATGTTAATAATCATTTCGAGTCCAGAATTCCTGTAAAACTTAATTTAATTATTTCCGATTATTTTTAAAGATCCAATCTATAAATCACCCTTACTTCCTCCTTTTTACATCCATGAAATTAGTCAACTTCCTCCCTCATTTATATTTAGATCCAAATCCGAAATTTCCTTTTTAAAAAAACTTTATCGATTACTTCTCCTTTTTAGAAAATTTATGTCACTCATTAATTCTCATAAATCCTCAAATAAGCTATACGAAAAAAAAAAGTTTGAATTCGGGTCACGCAATAATTTTACATCCACTTCTTTCATTTTTTTTTTTGCGACGATAATTACATAAATCATGTAGATATTTTTAACAACCAGTAATCATGGTTAATTACTTTTAATTGGATGATAAAATCTGCCGCTCTTATCCCACGTATTGTATTTTGGGTGGTATTTGAGGAGGTGATATAATTTATAATTTAGTAAATTGATAAGAGAATGGGAAGAAATTAAAGGATAAAGTCAATATTTAAACTGGACTGTGAATTTTTTGGGAATTTGTTTGTAAGGTTAAGTGTAAATGGAACCTGATGTGATGGACATAGCTGGACGACTGGAAAATTTTGAAAGGGGGGGTTTTAATTGACGTTGAGTCACCTGGCATTTAAGTAAGATTAGGGACGTAATAATAATAATAATAATGTGTGAAGGGCCCAGCCTTTCAGCTGGAGGCACTGCGATTCAAATTATAACAGAATCTATTGTACCACACCCAGAGGCGTAGCCAGGGGGGGCCATGGGAAGGCCACCCCCCCCCCCCCCCCCTACGAAAATCTGATAATTGTTTTATTAAGTATTTATAGAGAAGAACCAGATAATGTAGAGGAAGTGATGAAAGAAATGTCAAAATCAGCACGAAAAATTAAATTTAATGTATGAATAATGAATTAAATATTTAAACTTGTGAACAGTGTTGAAATGACAGACGTCTTCCATAGACAAAGACTACAGAATCTTTAAAAGATTTTATCTTTATGAAGAATTTATCTTCTACAGATTTCTGTCTGCATATAGATTAAAAAAAGTGTCTACATGCAGAATCTGTCTTCCATAGAATTCTGTCTTCCACAGATTTCTGTCTGCATGTAGATCAAAAAAAGTGTCTACATGCAGATTCTGTCTTCCAAAGATTTCTGTCTTCCACAGGGTTTGTCTGCATGCAGATTATTATATTTTAATGAAAAAGTGTGGTTTTACAATAAATTAACAATAATAAGTACTTTTAACGGTCAAATCATTTTCAAATTTTCCCGATTACCTCGAAATGCAAATATTTTCTTACAATTTGTAGGTAACGGTTTACAGAGTTCGTAAAAATGTACGAATTGGACTGACAGAGAAGCTTAATTTTAATCAAATATAAAACACTAATTCAAAATATTTTTTTCTTTTCATGAATCTGATGACAAATGTGGCGAATGGTGATTTTGTGAATGTGGATAAATTGTGTGTATGTTACTGAAAATATCCATTTTTAGTGCATTTTTGAAACTTATTTCAAAAAGGTAGCTTATTGATTGAGATAGAAGCAACCAGACATCGTAGCCTTCTACGTTTTCTCAGTTCTATCGTTTTATTGGCGTATCGAATACTTAATAAAAAGCGTAACTCAGTGTATTTATGCTATTATTAAGCATTTTTCTGACAACGAGAAAATCTAAATGAAAAAACCCTTTTTATTAATTTTAAAAGCCCGTAAATGTTTGATCATTTTTTTATAAAAGAGACTTGTCAGAGGAAGTGAAGAAGAATCCACATTAATTTGCAAAATTAATTTCGTTGTTTTATTTTGTATCCTAAATCTTTCTATGTGTTTTTGATTTAAAAATATTTATTAAATATCAAAATATAATAATCTGCATGCAGACAAACCCTGTGGAAGACAGAATTCTTTGGAAGACAGAATCTGCATGTAGACACTTTTTTTGATCTACATGCAGACAGAAATCTGTGGAAGACAGAATTCTTTGGAAGATAGATTCTTCATGTAGATACTTTTTTTAATCTACATGCAGACAGAAATCTGCAGAAGATAAATTCTTCATATAGAAAGTGTCTTTTTGCAGAAGTATAGGCAGATTTCAACACTGCTTGTGAAGAATGAATATAGATTTAAGGATACAAAATAACGGTTTTTTAATTTTCGAAAATGGGCCCCCCCCCCTTAAAAATTTTCTGGCTATACCCCTGACCACACCCTTTAGACCTACAGTTTATAGAGGGATTCGAAGCACTTGCAAGCTCTGCACATTGCAAAGACACGAGTACGTCCAAAGACCTGATGATCCCTGCAATGTACCTAGTCACAATTCGTGTGCGCAAGATGCCGTAAGGAAGTCATCCAGATGCTAGTATATCCTTGTATACCTTTCAGCAATTTTCAATTTTTTTAAAATTTTAAGGAAAAACTGACCCCCCTTCCCCCCTCTGTCCTTTCCTATCCAGCCATACAAATTTCAAGCAGCCTTCTACAGATTTTAATTTTGAAGTTTTAAGTGAACATCATTTTCGCTTTAAACTGTAAACAAATTCACCCCCCCCCCCCTTCCCCACTGTATTTTCTTGCTTTTACAGTTATTTCCTAAAATTTGATTGAAAGTGTGAGAAAACTTTCATGAAATCTCTTTTATTTTGTATTTTAAATATAAAAAAAAATGTGATTCCTGTCGAAACCCCATCAGATGGTCACCCTAGAATCGACAAACACTCAATGAGTACATCAAATTTAATTTTCGTCCTAAAACTTTATTAACAGTTTAATTAAAATATTGAAAATAAATTAAGTTAACTCTAAACCTAAACTAATTTTCATCCTTAAAACCAATATAGCCATGAAAAATAGATGATCTAAAGGCACAAAAAAGTATCACGAATTTTCAGTATAGCTTCATCCATGATTTTTTTAAACGAATGCAAATTACACTGTTGTTATCCCATCACATCCAGACGATGAGTCCAAAAATTGAGTTGTAATAGAGGCAAAGAATAATGAAAATGAGACAATTTTATTCGTTTTCTGATGCAATTGGCATAATCATGAAACATATTCACGATTGCACATTTTCAGATTGCATTTGTGTCGTTACCGGCGATTGAGTTTCCATTTCATTTACATCAGCCATTATCGCTCCAACTGTTGTCGTATTTGTTGTTCCTGACGATAAATTCGATGTTGATGACAAATTTGTCGTTCTTGGTGATAACGTTGCACTATCATTTGATTTATTAAAGCACCACCGGCACCATTTGATTCGCTCAAATCGTCGTGCATAAATTCGTGTCACATTTGTTCGAAATCCATTGTGCCACCATGCATATATAATTGGATTTAAGAGGCTATTTGCAAAGCCTAAAACTGCTAGTGGACTCGCGATGGCATATTTTAATCCATTACAGAAGCTTGGATTGTTTTCGTGATCGCAATATACATACATTGTGGATACGATAAAATACGGCACCTGTTTGTGAAAGACGAGGGAAAATAAATAAAAAAACAATAAAAAGTTCGGATGAAAAAAAAAGAAAGGAAGGCTTTAATTCAAAGCAAAAAATTTAAATCCACGTCCCCAACACAAGCTTCTCATTTAACCTTCAGAAATGGTAAATTTCTCTCATCCTTACCCATGTGATGACGAAGCTTCCGGTTGTAAACATAACAATTTTTATAGCTTTCCACCTACTTGGTTGTCTCCGTGGCGTCATTGTCATCGCAATATTTTCCGGCGCATATGTCTTTGAACTCGACGAGCAGCACCAAAAGCATCGTAAACTTTTCGATTTAGAATGTTTCCGTAATGGTGCTGTCGTGTCTTGATCTCTATCCACTGTCTGTCTCAAATCGACTGTACTGCCTCTAAATATACGTAAATTATTGTCGCCTGTCTCAATTGCAGTTGTGGCAATGAAACTTGTTGCTTTCTTTAGTTCACCAACTTTTTTTAATGCCTTTTTTAGGATAATGCTGTAGAGGATGACTACAATGAAAATTGGTATTGTACCAATTGTTGTTGTTGCTAATACTAATTCAGAGTTGAGAAGGATGAACCAACATTGGTCTCCAGACATTGTTCCTCGAAGTGAAGGGGCCATTAAGGGAAGAAAACCGATGATTGAACCTGAAAATAAGGAGAGTGAAATATTTAATAGAACTTTGAACTTTATGCCTAAGATAAGTTTACTATGGCTTAAGGATCTGGCATCAGATCTTGAATTTAAGAACCCAACCCCCCCCCCCCCCCCCCCTCATTTTGTGCAATAGAATTAAATTCCATAAGAGAACAAATGTCTCAAAAAATCGAAAACCTATTAAAAAGTCATCGACCATAAACATATAAAAACGAGCCATAAAAATACAAATCTCAGACTTTAGAGTAGCTCAAGAAATTCCAACTCACCGAGTGGTTAAAAAATTCAAGAACACAACTGAGAGACAGAAAAATGAGAAAGCTGCAATAATAAAAAAAAATGGCATTCTTCATTCTCATAAATTATCCAACAACAATTTTGTTGAATATTGTAAACCAAAACTGTAAGTATTAGGTCAATAACGAGTATAAACATGTTAATGCACGATTGTCAGTTTAATAGCTTACACCGAATACTTAGTAATAAAAAGATGATCAATTTATGTTTAATAGCTTGACAGAAGTCATAAAATAATTCATATGATTTATGATAGTCAAATAGTTGATGAAACTGTATGTAACATTCATGTAATTTTTGATATAAATAGAGCAGACAAATTTGAAATAAAGCTAGTTATAATTCAGACTCCAAACATTGAGTGAAGTATTCTTCTGTTTCAGTAGTATTTAGCTGTGTAGTCTATACTGCAAAAGAAGATTTATTTCGTCAGAAAAGAGCATATAACTCGAATAAAGGAAACTGATTGAGAATCACCATGAAAGAACAACAGGTTATGGGCCCAGAACGAAGCAGCTCTGTTTCAACATCTGAGAAATCAATTTTTCATATCGAAAAATTGAATAATACTAACTATTTATCATGGAGGTTCAAGATGATGATGCTTCTTCAAAAGGAAGATTGTTATGACTCAATCGAGTTGAGAAATGATGCAGATTGGCAGATGATGTCTTAAAGAAAGATAAGAAGGCACTTCAATGGATTGCTTTGTCCGTTGAAAATAATCAACTGATCCATGTCAAGAAAGCCACTGGTGGAAGAGATGCTTGGAAAAAATTGCAAGAATATCACCAACGCTCAAGCTTATCCAATCAAATTAGAATTAAGAAAAGATTGCATAAGTATGAGCTAAAAAAGGGAGAACCTATACGAGATCATCTTGACAAAATATTTCAAGATCTTGATGAATTATCTGAAATGGATGCTGCTTTAGATGATAAATCAGCTATTCACATCATATTGTCTAGCCTCAATGAAGACTATGATGCGTTGATAACTGCTTTAGAAGCATGGGAAGAGAGCAAGCTAACTTTGCAAACAATTAAGATGAAGCTGATTGAAGAATATGATAGAAAATTATCAGCTAATACAAAAAGAGATGCCCAATACTGGTCAGCTAAACGCGCTGAAGATGCTGAATGCTATTTTTGCAAAGAAAAGGGTCATACATATTAGACCACAATGTAAAAAATTCATTGAATGGAAAAATAAAAATGGATTGGCTAAGTTAGTCAAGTCCAATCAATGGTACAAAGTTGTTTCTGATAATCTTCAGGATTGGTGTGTCGATTCCGGAGCTACAAAACATATATGTAGTCAAAGAGATATGTTTTCAGATTTCAATAAATTAAATGGAAGTGTAAAAATAGCAAATGGAAAAAGCGTAAAAGTTGAAGGTGAAGGAAAGGTTACACTAAAACTCAAAGTATTTGATGGAAGGAAAAATCAAATAATAGATGTAACACTAAACGAAGTTTTGTACATACCTGAGATGGATGGAAATTTAGTGTCAGTTAGAAAACTGACAGAAAAAGGATTTAAAGTTGAATTTACAGAAGAAGAGTGTATACTCAAAAGAGGAAATTATTGTATTTCTGTTGCTAAATGGAAAAATGGACTTTACCATTTAGAAGAAATTAATTTGTGTTATAAAATTAAGGAGGAGAAAGAGTCATGTATTCATGAATGGCACAAAATTTTATGTCACCGCAATTTAGCCGACATTAAACGTATGAAGTCTAAAAGTTTAAGTATAAGCGAATGCGAATGTAGTGACAATTGTGAAGAATGCATCAAAGGAAAATTAACACGGAAAAGCTTTCCAAAAAAAGGCAAAAGAAATTGAAGAAGTTTTAGACTGTCTTGTGAGTGATGTTTGTGGTCCAATGCAGGTTAGATCTATTGGAAAAGCAAGATATTTTGCAACATTTATAGATGTTAAAAGTGGATACACAGAAGTTGTTTTTCTTAAAAGCAAAGATGAAGTTACAACAAAACTAATTGAATACATTGAAAAACTTAAAACGCAGTATGGTAAAAAACCCAAGATTGTGAGAACAGATAGGGGAAAAGAATATATCAATAATATTCTTCAAAGCTATTTGAAAAAGGAAGGAATTTCATATCAATGTACCGTTGGATATGCACCTGAACAAAATGGTGTAGCAGAAAGAAAAAATCGAACATTGATGGAAGCTGCGAGAACAATGTTACAAGATGCTCATTTACCAAAAAATTTTTGGGCAGAAGCAATCAGCACAGCTAGTTATGTTTTAAATAGAGTTGTGAGCAACTACAAAGATGTGTCGCCTTATGAATGCTTTACTGGTAAGAAACCAAATTATAGTGAATTTCATCAATTTGGATGTGAAGTTTTTGTAAAAATACCAGACGCTAAGCGAAGGAAATTAGATTTGAAGGCGGAAAAAATGAAGTTTATTGGATATGACGAAGAATCAAAGGGATTCAGAGTTGTTAATAAGAATTATGTTGTTACAATTAGTAGAGATGTTGTGTTCCTAAAAAAAGTGGGGAAGACGCAAGAATATGTAACTGTTGAATCGAGTGATAATCATGACAAGAATAACGATAGTGAAATGAAAAATTGTGATGATATCAATGAAGGAAATAATGAAGATATTGAAGAAGAAAATGAGATGAGTATTCAAGATTATTTTGATGCTACAAGCATTATAGAAGAAGAAACTGAAAGGAATACTGATAACTCATATGATGAAGAGAATACTTTGATCCCGAACGAGGTTCAGGAGGAGAAAAATGATAACTTAAGAAGATCGACAAGAGTTAATGCTGGAGTGACACCAAAAAGATATGGATTTGATGATCATGTAGCAAACAAGTGTGATGTTTATGAGATAAAAGAGCCAACAAGTTTTAATGAAGTGTGTATTCTTCCAGAAAAAGACTTTTGGGTTAAAGCAATGCAGGAAGAGTTACAAGCCATAAATGAAAATGATACTTGGGAACTTGTTGATTTACCAATTGGGAGGAAGACAATTGGATGTAAATGGGTTTTTAAAATAAAGAAAAATGACCAAGGAAATTTAACAAGATATAAAGCCAGACTTGTAGCAAAAGGCTTCTCACAAAAGTTTGGAGAAGACTATGATGAAGTATTTGCACCAGTCGTAAGATCTACTACCTTTAGGATAATGCTTTCGACAGCATCTACAAGAGGATATAAAGTGAAGCATTTTGATGTTAAAACAGCATTTTTAAATGGAAAAATTGAGAGAAGCAGCTAATCTACAAAATAAATATTCTTTTGAGGAGGAGTGTTGAATATTGTAAACCAAAACTGTAAGTATTAGGTCAATAACGAGTATAAACATGTTAATGCACGATTGTCAGTTTAATAGCTTACACCGAATACTTAGTAATAAAAAGATGATCAATTTATGTTTAATAGCTTGACAGAAGTCATAAAATAATTCATATGATTTATGATAGTCAAATAGTTGATGAAACTGTATGTAACATTCATGTAATTTTTGATATAAATAGAGCAGACAAATTTGAAATAAAGCTAGTTATAATTCAGACTCCAAACATTGAGTGAAGTATTCTTCTGTTTCAGTAGTATTTAGCTGTGTAGTCTATACTGCAAAAGAAGATTTATTTCGTCAGAAAAGAGCATATAACTCGAATAAAGGAAACTGATTGAGAATCACCATGAAAGAACAACAAATTTTCGCCTTTTTGCAGTCGGAAATGCATGTGAATGTGAATAATGCTTGCCTTCCACTTTTGTTCCTCGTAAAATCATAAAATTTATTGAATATGGGATTTATTGTATGCATTTATATGTTCATATTATTTATAAACTTCTTACTGCACCCGATTTTACTAATTCAACATATTTTTTTTTTTCGAGTGGAATTGGAAATATGAAAAAGTTTGTACATCAATTCAAAATTCTTGCATGGAGAAACTTTTTTCCAAACAATAATATTCTACTAGCTCATGCGTTGAAAGGAGCCTTTTTAGAAATCATTGAGTTTTTTAACAATGTTAAAAAATAAAGCGAAAAAGCTGCAGTAGCGTAGTGGTTAGAGTGTTAGCCTAGCAACACTAACGACCCTGGTTCGATCCCAGAGAATGTCTAGTCGAAAAATGTGCTTTTTCGATGTTCTAGTTATGACAACTCGATTATTGCGATTCGGGATGCGTAAATCGTGGTTAAATACTTTATACGCTGACTCAATCAATTTTGACAAAACCAGTCAAAAACCTTTAGGCAGAATTTTAATGCTATTATTAAAAACTTGCAAAATTGTACCCCACTCTCCCCACCTTGCTCTTCAGTTATTCTCAAAAACTTGATTACGCCAAGCCTATAATGCTTTTAGAAAAAAATTATTGTTGCATCGCATGCCTTTTGTGCCAAGTGCATATACAGAAATTCAAACAATTGCAGTTGATAGTAAAGCAAGCACAAAATATAGAACGAATTGATGATGATGGTGAACAAAAGAATAATGTAAATGTAGCAGCAGTGGTAGCAATAAAAAAAAACTGAGATGAAAAAAAATATACTTGAACTAAATTGAAAGTTGTAACTTGAGGGCTACAAATTGAAAAATCTCGACAACACTCCCATTACTCGAGTGAATCAGTAAATTTTTTTCTCTCTCTCTCTCTCTCTCTTTCCTCCTTATGCTTGTGCACTTTTTTTGATAAACGGCACTCTCGACTATTGCCTCCCCAGATTGCAATACTATTTTTAAGTACAATTTAAAACTTAACACCATTTCGCTTGAATTGGAGATGGTGGGTATGGATGTCAGTTATAATGATCTTTGGCGATGTGGAATAAAAGCGCATTTTATCTAAATATCAAGATATGATAGCTTAGCATATAATTTCAAGCTTATAAAACATTTAGGTCTACAAAAAACAGGTTGTAACTAGTTTGAGACTAGTTCGTGGCTCGTGTGCTGCAAGTTTGTGATTAGGACGAGACTAGTGCGTGGCTTAAATTTGAATGATGACTGAAATTTAGGAAACAGTAGATTAAATGCTAGCATGTAAGATTTTTTAGCTGTATTGAAGTTTCAAAGCCTGCATAGCTTCATTTAGTTCGCGTTACAATTTTAAGATGTCAAAGAACTAAACCATAACTATGTTAAGCCACATTGCATATCACTCGCCATGATTTCCCATGTTAAACACATTACAAAGCTGCTAAACAGACAATCTATACAAAAAATCCACTCCGTTCGTCTTTAAAAACTCACAGACTGCGCTAAAGAGAGGCGAACAATAAAGGCGAACAGAGCAAATAAAAAAAGCTGCTTTATGGGACTCCATTAAGTTTCCCATTCATTTCTCTCTCGACGATGAACTCCGACGAATGAATTTACACTAAAAGAATGAAGAAAGGCATGAGATGCGGCAGCATAAAAATCTTTTTTATGCTGTTTTTATGAAGAGTCTCTTAAATGGACTACATTACTTTCCAGCGCCTTAAACTAAAGCAAAAAGTTCCATCCTTATGTATTTAAGCTTAATGCTTTTTTTTTCTTTGTCGAGATTTTCACTTCTCAAATTGCTTCGAGAAAATTTTTTTTCTGCTTTCCTTTTTTTTATCGAAAGTCAGCAAAATCCTTCAAATTGAAATTGAGTAAGTCTTTAATTACTTTGATTCGCTGTTCTTACTTTTTTATATTGATCTTAGGAACAAGACGAGAAGTAATCAAAAGTTTTAAGATTAAATTAAGTTTTAAGCAGTTAAGTGCCTTGCTGGTCGAATAGGTAAGGCGCTTGGCTCAAATTTGGGATGGTAACTCGAAGGTCGTCGTTTCGAATCCAGCCATTCCCAAATTTGTTCTTTTTCAGACGTTTAGATACTTCGACTGCTTAATGTAGGAGATCAAGCCATAATTGGGCATTTGGGCAACATTGGATTAAGGAACAAGTCAGGAACTTGAAGTGCAGTGGGAGAAATAGGAACGAGAGCCACAAGATTACCCACGAATGGAATATTGTTAGAACGGACCTGAAAAGTATCACGTCACGCCTACAGAAGATCGAAACGAGAGCCTTAGTTTATTTGAAACATAGATTTGAAGTTTAGAAGTTTGATCCTACATAATATTAATTCATCTGTATACAAATACAAAAGTGTAAAATGTGAATTATTACCGGACAGTATGTCGTCAATAAATGCAATAAAGTGCAATTGAAATGAAAAAAAATGAATTTATTAAGCGAGAAATTGGATCAGTGTAAGTGAACTGGGAAAATTGTGTATCAAGCTATATCAGGGTTGTTAAACCTTTTTTCGGATAAAGGTTTGGAATTAAGAATCGTCCAGTTCTGGATTAGAGCCAGACATTTTTTAACTAGATAAAATTGATAATATAATCAAGGACCTTAGATGTCAGCTAATGACATACCATGATTTGCACCCCCCCCCCCCTCCATCTTACGATCTAAAAATATATACGGAACAAATTTTCATTAATTGAGCTATCACAAAATCGTAGACCTCCCTCGACCTAAATCTCGGACGACCCAAGTCAACGACCCCTTATTTCCTTGACATATAAATTTGCTATGATTTTTCAAAGGTTTTAAGTAAAAATTCCCTGCCTTTCTCTGCTCAGCGCACAGTTTGAGATCCACTGCTTCTATATTGTAATAATTTGTGCTCATCCAATGATTCTTTGTATAGTTCAAAGAATAAAATAAGCTGCTCTAGATGTTCATTTCTTTATTTGATGAAGTTTAAAAGAAAAATCATGTACAAAAGAAGATTTAAGGGATTAATGTGCAATTGTATAAGCTTTTAGCATTGAAAACTGTTAAAAAAAATGATTTTGATTCAACTCTACAAGATTCAAAGACTTCACATAACTTAAAATCTACAAAATATTCATCAATTTCCTTTTTGCTCTTCATAAATCGCATTCAAAGCATTCTCAATTCATGAAAACTTTATCTCAATGTAGGACGAACAAGTGGCACGTTTGAAAAATTGATGATATGATAGAAGAAAAAAATCTCAGGTTGCATGAGGAGATCAAATACTTTTTTTTCGAAAGATTTATTGAAGCTTTAAATATCTGAATTGACATTTCTAAAAATGGAAAGGACATTTTTATGAAAGAAATTTATTTTTGCTCTGAATTTTTCTGACATTTTGTGAATCAGAAAGTTTTTATCAATTTTTCATGGAATCTTCTCTTTGTGAACTGTTCTTAGAGCTTAATCATAGAATTTCAAATTTGTATGCTCAGTTGGATGTGAATTTAAATTCAGATCAAAGTAAAATATATTCAGGCTAGTTTTATTTACAGCAAAAAAAAACGCATTTGAATTAAAATGCACCAGAAACTTTTAAATAATCCTACAAAAAATTAAACAAACCAGCTCGCTAAAAGGATGCTCTTAATCGCACCCCATTTCTATCGAGCATCATCAACAACATTTAAATAAATCCGCACTCAATTCTGTTTATTTTTCATGTGAGAAAAAAAATAAGAGGAAATTTTTATGCTGTATAAAACATGACCTATTTAATACATCTATATGAAGCGGGATTGCATTATGATTTCAAATGAATTTCGCACCTCCGAGGATTGATTAACTCTAACTTGTGTAAATTAATGATATTCATATAGATTTGACTCGGTGAGAATTTTTTTAAAAATGTGTAAATTTATATCGGTGGTAATATGCCAAGGGGATAACAACATGATGGGGAAAAGTTTGATGGAAAATTCCTTATCATGGTTTGAAATGTTGCTTTCAATTTCCTACTAAAATTCTGATGTAAAATCACTGATTTCTGATCGGTTTGTTTTAATTTTTCGTTAAAAACTTTATTCTCATCATGCTGTTGTCCCCTGAGCTATTTTAACTTAAAATTTTTAAGAGAGAACAAGGCATATACAAAGAGCAAGGTCTGTAATTTTGTATCCAGGGGCTTATCCAGAGCAACCAAGGCAGTGTTTCTCAAACTTTTTAAGCGGTATAGCAATCCGTTCATATTTTCGCAAATTCCTGGCAATCACTTTTGACAAATCCAGAATTTTCTTGCCGAAATGGAAAGCTTCACGGAGCATAGTTTGAGAAACACTGAACTAAGGACACATCCTAGCTACGTCTCTAATTGTATCGATTGCGACTTCCTTTTCAAATGATAAGTCAGTGTCAACAGAGGCGTAACTGAGACTGAGGAGTCCCTTAAAATTCAAAATCACTCTAAACTTTGTTGAATGGCATTAAAAAAGCCTCTATCCGAAAATCAGTTAAAAATTGATGCTTAGTTCAATTAGATTGTTTACAAAGTTTTCACACAAAATTCTCAAAAAAAGATCCTCAAACGAAAAAGAAAAAAAAGAAGCTCGTCTTCAATAAATCAAAAAGCAATTTACCTAAAGTATATGACATGAGCCACATCAATCTACTCACCAATAATCCATGATATCACAATCAAAAATCGAACCCGATTGGGAAACATGTATTGCTGGTATCTCAATCCATTTGATATGTATAAAAATCTATCAATTGCAACCAATAGAACTGAAAACACGGAAACGAGTGATGATGAAACAATCATGCCTGCAAGAAAGAAGAAATAAAAATGAAAATCAAATGAAAATTGAGTGAGTGAAACGGAAACAGACAAATGTGAATGAAATAAGAGAAATGGATGCACAAAAAAGAAGAAGAGAAGAACAAGAAGCTTGTGATAAACAACACAAAATTGTATACAACAACTTTTCCAGAGCAAAAAAAATAACATTCATTTAAATTGATTTGCATTTGTCAGTTTGTGAAGACTTGTATATACAAACATGTGATTCATGAATACAGTACATGAGTTGAGATATCATATGTGGCTTTAAGTTGTTGATTTTCAAATTGCTTTCATAGATCTTTGTCACTTTTATTTCTCATACTCAATCTCAATCACTTTTATGAGCTTTTCTTCAAGGATATAAGTGCGGTTTTGTGCTCATTTTGTCGGCACATTAAATTGTTCAATTTTTGTGGTTTATCGATCGAATGAGTTTCAGAATATTAAATGGAAAAGCGTGAGTTTGAGTTGAAAATTGACTAATAAAAAATAATGAATAAATCTGGATCCTAGAGAAGGGTGCTCGCGGGAGACTTAGAAACCGGCCTCAGTAGTTGTCAAACTTAACTTAATCGGATAGAAATCAGGTGCCTAACCGGCATGACTCTAGCATGGACTTCGATTTAAATCCAGCTCCATGCTAGAGTCTAAAAGTTCCTGATCGATGAACCAACTTATGTCCACGTAACCATTCACGTGTATTTACTGAGAAGCACTGATCTATAGACCAAGAAAAATTTCTATGCTGACCACAAAGTCGCTTAGAGTGCTTAATTTAAAACATTTCCAACTAGCAGTCCTCATTGCAGCTTGCAGTATCATTATGCAATTTTGCTCAAATATTATTTTCAAATCTAGGGATTCATTTTCTTTTGTGCTTATGTATGAAAAGTTTACAGCACAGGAAATGAAATAAATGAGTTTTGAGACAAAACAAAGTGATCAACAAAAATATGTTGGAATCGAAATTGATATTTTCCTAAATTTGTGTACCTTAATTTGAGTACTTATTATAAGAATTGATTCAAAATGTTTTTAAAAAACATGGAAATAAATCCAAGTAAATCCCCGACATTATCCTCGAAGGTTGAAAAAAAAAATCTTAACAACATCATCCTACACAAAACATGGATATCCGAAGAAAAAAATATTAAGATAAGCATAACAACAAACATACCTATCTGAATAGCACAAGACGTATCATTTCGACTTGGATAATAATGTCCAAATAAGACTGCAATGCCTGTCAACAGATTCGATAAGCCCAAGTTACCAAGGAGGATATAGCAACTTCGTGGTTGTTGACCTGGAAATATATAGAGCAAGCAAAGAATCTTCATTTATAAAGAATGTATGTAACATGTACATAAAGAATATAAGAACAGAAGCACAATAAAAATGGAATTTCCTTTAGCAACAAACACACACACATACACAAATACATACTCGAAAGAAAATAGCTGGTCCTTAAGTGGAAGCAAGCGATGTGAAACGTGCTCTTTAAACTATGTCAACGACAATTTAGAGAATGTTATGTAGAGATAGATGAAATGACAAAGTGGAAATGGAGAAAGAGTGAGGATAATAAAAATATACACATTATGTTCATATAAATGGTATGTAGTAAGTCTCGTTGCGAGTGCAGAGACATAAATGATTTACTTTGCAGTAGTATCATAATACATGTGTCTCCCGAGTGAGGCAGTAATCGTGCTCTTAGGATGTACCTAGTAATTTTATGATTTAATGGCTGGAATTGTTGTGTATGTAGCTCATACTTAGAGGTCGTGTCCTGTAAAGAGTTTAAATGTAGGGATTAAAGTTGTATTCCCCTTGATGGTGGGGTAGGCATCAGGTCGTACTTAATAAGGGTCTTTGAAAGAAGCAGGCGCGTAGCCAGGGGATAGATTTGGGGGACAAATCCCCCTTGATCTTGAGAAATTTCTTCATTTTGTTCGAGTTTTTATGCAAAACTGAAAAAACTCAAAAATTCCCGCCCCCCTCTTTAATTTTGCCCCCCCCCCCTTCTTCAAATTCCTGGCTACAACAAGTTAGCCTTTTTAAAGTTGGGAAACCCCAATCCTTACAACTCTTACTTGTTGCCTGCAGCCCAGTTCTAGGTACACCCCTAAAAACCTGAAAGTAAACCAATGTCCAACAATTCCAGCTATGCCATAATATCTTGACTGGTAAACCACCAGAATAAGCCACAAAGAATACCATACTAAGGATTATCATTCATTCACTACAAATCCCATTTACACCAAGCACAAATGCAGTTTGCGAAAGCACATAAAATAACACAAGAGCAGACTTACGCTTTTCAATTAATAATCCACTAGCGTTGACAACAATAGAATTTAACAAAATTATGAAAATTCCGAGAAGTGGAATAAAAATGTCATAAAGTCTTAATGTAGCTGTTTCAGCAGATGCAGCTTGTATTAAGCTCTGTTCCAACGTCGTTGTTTCAAAATTATAATCCATGCTTGCTCCACTTCTTAACTGTTGTAATTTACTAGTGCGAAAAAAATTCAATTTTCTGAATAAGTTTTAATGCATTTGCAGGCTTGCTGTTGCTATTTGTATGCTTTTAAGTTAGTTTAAGCACAGTCGCACCTTCAATTTTCAGTAATCTTTATTGCATTTCAATATCATTTATTTGCGAAAATTAAAAAAGTTCCTGTGACTCATTTTCGATTAATATTTTACGACTTCACATTATGTCATTGACTTATCACTTAACTATTACGTGATGGCTTTTTTATAGCCGGCTTGCCTCAAAAAGTAAATAATTCACTTAAATAACTATTTATTTTTAACTCGTCATGTACGTCGAGGTATATTCTCTCAGAATATATTACAACTATCAATATTGTCACTGTTCATTCACAAACTGTGTTACACTTGTCAATTTTAATAATTATTAAATGATTAAAACACTTTGTTTAATTTGTAAGACATCACATAGATTCATGAAGCGACGGTAGCGATGTTTGAGCACGTGTTGGTGTAAAAGCTTCTTGTTTGCTCGTCTACTAGTTGTTGGGTATGTTTGCGATAGAATTTAAATTTGTTTTACTTTCTTTAAAGTTTTTGAGTGGGTTTTTTGGTTCCATGATATCATTTTTTAAAATAGGAACTGAATAATTTAGGTAATTTTGCTCTTTATTTGCTTGTTGAATGATGTCGATGACCAATGGCTATGTAGGATAATTTAAATAATGTTGAACTTAGTCATGGTACGATCGAGGCTCGTTTGTATCTACAAAAGTCAATAGACACTTTCGAATCAACACAATTCTCAATTTTTTATGACATAACAATCACATTGACTCAATTCTTTCTCTTTTCAGTACACACGCAATTCCAACGAATCAATTTTCTTCAAATTCTCAGAACAATTTGTCTTCAAATTCTTTCTTTATTTCAAAGTCACAGAACATTCATCGTTAACTTTTCGCGATAGACTGAGCTATGATTTTGATAATTCCGTCGTCGCACACAAGTCGCAATACAAATGAAATTGTAAGAATCTGACATCAAAGATAAGGAAAAATATCAAAGATAATTGATTATCATTCTTCACAAAGTCATTAAAATTCGATTACAATTTTTCGAACGTAATTTTTTTATGCAATTTTATAGATTTTAAAATTTATTTGTATTCATTATTCAGAAAATATGAGACTTTTGAGAAAGAAAATTCCAACACAACCGCAAGCCTTGCTATCTATTCTTGAGATTATAAATCAAATATTGATAACTTACACATTAACAAAACCAAAGCATGTGTGCGCTATCGTTTGAGTTTGCGGTCACACATTTAATTAAAAAGATACCGCATCAAGATATATGATGAGTCTCATGTTGGCTGAAAGAGAGAAGAGAATTTGCGATCGATGGAATATAATTTGAGATTTATTATTTTATTGACATTTCAGCTTTAATTTGACTTTATTAATTAAGAACCTTTTTAAATGTTCTGCACATTGCAAAGACACGAGTACATCTAAAGACCTGATATACCCTGCAATGTACACCTAGTCACAATTCGTGTCTGCAAGATGCTGTAATAAAATCATCCAGATGCCAGAATATCCTTGTAGCAAAGGAGACACGTTTTGCGCCACAGACCTTAAAACTACACCAAACACACGAACTGAGCTTCGCAACTAGAACAGTGAAATGGAAAAAGAGCTTCTAAATCTTGACTTGGCCTGGAATTGAACCCACAACCTTTAGCACGTAAGGTCAACGCTCTACCGCTTAGGCCATTGATGCTTTATTCAACTATTACGAACTTTAATCATTTCATAAAAAAATGAATTCATGACTTTTTAAAAAGTTTAGAATCAAACATAAAGACTCATTTTCGTTTTTCAAGCACGACCCTTATTCATCATAAATAAAACAGATTTTCCTCAAGCTGCAAACAAAAAAATTAGTTTTTCCTTTTAATCTCAGCTTCTTCTTCTACGTTAACTGTGTCAGAGCTTGTGAACTCACAGTGACAAGAATGAAGAACAGGAAAAAAAAGTTTTTAATACTCAAGCAGAATTTTAAATTCTAATTAAGTGGAAAGTTTTGTTGACAACTTTAATGAACTTTTTTTCTTCTTCGTTTTCATCTGCTTTATGTGTGTTTGATGTTGAGTGCACTTTAAAAAGTTTTTTGTGTTTAGGGCTTTAAAATTATAAGCTTCAATTAGTTATGAAAAGAAAGGAGAATTTAAGGTTTGTTGTAAGGGGCCGTTCACTTTTGACGTCCAGGGAGGGTCAGCACGAAAAGAACAATAGAAATTCCTGGAAATCCATTGTTCTTTTATGAAAAATGACCGTTAAATTCGGACGTCATAAGTGAACGACCCCTAAGTGGATTTATAGTAATTTAATGGTAAGTCATGGTGTATGGTTGTTTGTTATGGTTGTGTTCTCTGACTTGCTGACTTGTACTTTTACCTGTCAGGGGTATGTCTGTTTGTCTGGGACTTAGCAAGAGCGTTCGTTGAGCTAGCGAAATAAAAAATATGTGTCCTTATTTTGGAGATGTTTTGTAATTTTTTCGTGACAATCCTTATCCTCTCCTTCATGAAATGCCGTCCGCCCATCTGTTTTATTGCATGTCTGATTAATAGGATCATTTTGACCACATAATTGTATTGAAAGACGATTAAATAGAAGTCAAAGAATAAAAAGAGTTATAACACACATCCACACAATGCAACCATTGACTCTACAATTGTATCTAAGATTAAGTGCAATTTATTTCAAATCTTTACAAAAAAATCTCATCTCAAAGAAAATTTGTAACAAAAAAAAACTTCTTTTTTGCTCATTTAACAAATTTACTTTGCTCTCTTAAAAGATATTTCATCGACCATAAATTGCTTACCTTTTTATCTGCGAGCACTTTAAGCTTTTATTTGAAATGAAAGAAAAAGAACAGAAAAGAAATCCACAAAAAAAAAAAGGTTTTTTGTTTCGCAATCAAAAGAAAAAGAACTGAAACGTCTGAAACGAAAGATTTGTGTTTGCAGATCGATGAGTGAAGTATAAATAAATAGTATGCACGTTTTTTGGTACAGGTGAATCTTAAGAGAATAACAAAGTTGCTGTGGATTGTATGATTTGAAGAATCGAGTGACGAGAATGTTTTCAAAGTTTCAGGTTTTAGGAACGGTGGGGGGTTGGGCTGGTCTGTGATTTTCTGGAAGATTGGTTGTCCGTAAATGAACAAAATAAATATGTTCTAGATGATAATTTCAAATCAATTCAGACTTTTTTGATATTTATTCAGCACATCATGGATACAGTGTTGCATTTGGAATCGATAATAGGGCAGTCAGTAGCCAGCGATAGAGCTAGTGTTAGGGGACGACTAAGGAAGTACATGGATCACAACTGATCTGTACGACCAGCGAAGTAAGTAAGTAAGTACATCATGGATACGCAAGATATCCATCAATAATATTAAATTCCTCAAATCCAACTAAAAATCAATAAACAAGACGAAGATGAGATAAGTTTATGTTACATTATTTATACAGCATTTATTAATTTTGTGCATCAATACCCATTTCAGCAATAAAATTGAGCAAACGTGACACAAAAGAAAAGAGAATAACAGCGAGTAATATGAAGATGCGAACGACGAGTAAGACCAAAGTTGAAGCTTGTCTAAATACAAACAATTCGTCTTTGTTTTCCTTCCTCTCTTCACTACTTGTGCTTTATTTTCTGCATGACTGAATCAGTTGAAAGCATATTTAACAGCAACTAGAGAAGAAAGATTGAGGATGAAGATGAGTAAACATCTTTTCATGTTATTGCAGAGATATAACTAAAATGAGAGGGAAAAGGAAAAAAAGGGAACAATTGAGATGAAATAGCGATTTACATCTGACTTACTTGCAATAGTAAAAAAAAGCTCTTCAATCCCCCCCAAAGATGAACCATTTAAATACTGCTACTGCTGTTACAACTGGAACTGCTACACATTTTCTTTGTTTAAATATTCTGTTTGTGAGCAAATGTGTTTAAGGTTTGGGTAGTAGAATTTTATGGGGCCTTTTAAAATAGGAAATGGATTGTAATAATTTTTATTGGGGAAAGCGGAAGGTTCTTTGGGATGCTGTGCAGTAATAAAAGAAAACTATGAAACTATCCGAGAGGAAACCTTTTGAGAGTAATTGAGATTTAATTTTTCGAATCTTGAAGAAGTTGAAAACGACTGTAAAAGTTTCTTGACCGAAAAGTATTGATGCTTGTTGATGAGGAATCAATGAATTGAAAATCGAATGCATGACTCTGGCATGATACTGGCTTCGATTTAAATTTAATAATGCTAGAGTCACGCCAGCTTAATGCTAGATTTCTGATAAATTAACCAAATTTTGTCATTAGGGAAGCGGGTCAATTTAAGGAGTTTTGGTTCGACATTCTTTAAATCCCACCTAAAAATTATTAAACTTCAAATTTTATTAAAACTAGTGTATCGGGTAGAAACCCAATGCGGATATATTCACACCGTACCATCAAAAGTCTTATGGATAGACCAAGATTTGCTCAGCAAAAGTTTGAAGGGTGGGCGTGAAGTACGCCGAGACCCATATCCACACAGTTCAAAAGTTATATCTAATTTATGTTATAATTATGTCAGCTACAAAAACAATTAGTTTGAAGTTTGTCACCCTCGGGAACACTATGAACCAGTATAGCTGATTTTGGTCCAAATCTCGGCCATACTTCACACTTATTTGAACCACATTTTCTCGTAAATGTTAAAAATATTATTAAAAAGTAATTAATCTTGAATTATGTCGCTATTTTGTCAAGTGTTTTAAGATAAAGAATTTGTTTTTTGGTTTCCACAGTGAAGAGTATGAACAAAATTCAGATGTTGCAGTCGAAATTTTAGATTTCGATTTTTTTTAAGCTATGCATTATAAAAAGTAATATTGGTATGTGATTTATGTCAGAATTATGTCAATTCAAATAAAACATCCAAAAAATTTTTTTGACCAAAGCACACCATAGAAAATCAATTTTCAATTTTGGACTAGGGGCGACCCTAGTCAAAATCAATTTTGTCACTATTTTCTTCGAGGGTTTATCCAAATGGATTCAAACCTTGCATAAATATTTTAGTGCTTAAAACAAATACAAATAAAACATCTTAAATTTTTTTTGAGCAAAGAACCAAGTAGGAAATACATTTTCAATTTTGGACTAGGGGCGACCCTAGTCAAAATCAAATTTGTCATTTTTTTCTTCGAGGGTTTATCCAAATGAATTGAAACTTTGCATAAATATTCTAATGCTTAAAACAAATACAAATAAAACATTCTAAAATTATTTTGAGCAAAGAACCAAGAAGGAAATACATTTTCAATTTTGGACTAGGGGCGACCCTAGTCAAAATCAGTTTTGTCAATTTTTTCTTCGAGGGTTTATCCAAATGGATTGAAACTTTGCATAAATATTCTGGTACTTAAAACAAATACAAATAAAAAAACCTAAAATTTTTCTGAGCAAAGAACCAAGTAGGAAATACATTTTCAATTTTGGACTAGAGGCGACCCTAGTCAAAATCAGTTTTGTCACTTTTTTCTTCGAGGGTTTATCCAAATGGATTGAAACTTTGCATTAATATTTTAGTGCTTAAAACAAATACAAATAAAACATCTTAAATTTTTTTTGAGCAAAGAACCAAGTAGGAAATACATTTTCAATTTTGGACTAGGGGCGACCCTAGTCAAAATCAAATTTGTCATTTTTTTCTTCGAGGGTTTATCCAAATGAATTGAAACTTTGCATAAATATTCTAATGCTTAAAACAAATACAAATAAAACATTCTAAAATTATTTTGAGCAAAGAACCAAGAAGGAAATACATTTTCAATTTTGGACTAGGGGCGACCCTAGTCAAAATCAGTTTTGTCAATT